AACAACTAGCTTTTTGCACTGGCAGGTGATCTTCAGACAATGAATGTGTCTAATCCAATAGTATTTCTGCACAAAATGTTAATCACTATTAAAAGCCTGTAAATGTCAGAGGCAACAAAAAGCTGCCGGTCATTCTCCTGGTGAGATGAACCATCTTTGTTGGATCAGTTTGGCACACATGTTTGCCGACTCTGGTATCACAAACATGCACGTGCAAGAAGTCACAAAGGGAGTGACCCACAAATGCTAGTCGCACTAGGAGCAGCCCAGACGTGCACAAAAAGGAAACTTGAAGGGAAGGTGGCCCACATTTACATCGAGTATGTTTTTATTGTTATTAGGCCTAGAGCTGTCTGACTACACCTTGAAACATCTGCTGCAACTAAAACACCACAGAGGAGCAAGCAGTGGGTGTAATTGAGCTGTATTCACAGTGGGAGACGTGGAGCCTGAGAAAGACCTGAGCACATACTGTAAAAGTAAACCCATCTGCTGGACCAGATACATCCAGCAGGAGTTTAATAAAATGATCTATTTTTGGTTATTTGGGGGGAACTGAACCTGTGACATATAATAATAAACTGTCTTGTCTGGCGCTAGCAGTCTTGAATAGTCTGCCCTGTGTTGACACACACATTAGAGCCAACAGGTTATCCAGTTGTGTTGTTTTTCTCTGCCTCCCAGACTACTCTGTGATGCATCAGTGTGATTAATGGAGTAGCAGGCATCAGGAGGGCCGGCGTAAGAGGAAGGAGACCCCCGAGGGGAGACTATGAACCGCGGCTCTCAATGCATCGCCGCATCCCTCTCCTCCCTCCACCGATCTTCCCCCTCCCCATGGGTGTCACCCCTACCTCCTCAGCCCCTCCCTGCTGCTTCTGCTGCTGCTCCTGCTTCCCCCGCACAAACATGTTGGTGTCTTTATCTAAACACTCCCAGCTATTTTTCTACCACCTCGCAGGCCCGACAGTAACTCTAACCTTGTTAGATGCGCGTCAGCCGTGAGCTTTACTAATTGCTTTTCTAATATTCCCAATAATTCAGCTGCCTGGGTCTAACCCTTCCCTTGATTAATGGTGCAGAGATAACGGCGCTCCTCGTCCTGACCGGACAACCAAAGTGCTGCTCTCAGCAGGCACGCAGCTGGCTGGTTGGAAGGCCAGGCAGAAGGACGAGGAGGGTTACAGAAATGTTAGTGATCAGGGGGTTGGGACCTACATTATTGCTTCTTGCCTCCCTTCTGAAGTGACCGACCGACTTGACACGGTATTTTGAGAATGTTTTCTTCAACACGAGGTCAAAAAATCTGTATCAAAATGATCTTTGTTTCAAAATCATTCCAGTTGTTATATTTTGGAGAGGTTAGCTACCCTTAGTATCAAGCACCAGCTCGGCTACATGTCCATGCAAAGCAGTGCTAACGACACTATGAAAAATAGTAACTGAAATGCTGTTATATGGCACCTAAAAGACTAAAAAAATGACTCACTCTTTAACCATATTTAGCCCAGATGAACATCAGGGTTCACATTCACATTTAGATGTTCAAATAGCCACTTTTCACAGCACTCGATGGTTTCTGAGGGCTTCTCATCCAAGCTGGCCAATATAGACGGCTAATAAAAAAGTGTTCGAAAGCTCCACTATGGCAAATCTGAACCCCGGTTAAATGAAATGTTCTCTAATAACCTTGAATATTGTTC